CAAATGTAACCCGAAAGGCAAAACAAATAATAAATTTATTACTTCTTAGCAATAATTTCTATCCAGTAATATCATATCGACGAGTTCAAAAAGAAAGCGACGAATTATTGTATACGGTTTGGTCACTCGCGTTATGGTCCGCGAAACCAGTTGCCAGCGCAAGAGGTTAACTAAATTATATATAACAGGTGTAAAAGCGATCGATGTATAAACGAGCAGTTGAATTCGAATAATTTAGCTAGCGTCTGTGATCGAAGTTGAACGAAATGCTTCCTCGGAGAGATTTCAAACGTGTTTCAATCTCGTATGACGTGTTCAATCTCGCGATGAGCACGGCTCGAAAGCGTGGTGTTGTACACCGACGCGTCCTGCAAACCGGCTAGCGCGTCGGTGCGAGCAACCTAGTTTCCTTATTAACTTGCAGCAGACCTCTTTTCTCCTCGCGGCTCATGAGATCGAGCAGGATCTACACCGTGATTTCTCTTCGGACACTGGCGCACCGAGACCCTGTTCTTTTTTAGTTCTTCTTCTCTTGCTCCTCTTTGGTCGTGTCGTGATAATTCAATGAGATATTACAGCCTTCAGAGTCGTCCGAGAACCACCGTTGCTTTCTTGACTTTCGTGAAATCGACCGACTTAACGCCGTAACGTAAAGTGCCACGTTCGAAATCGTGTACGGCTTTGAACTACGCTGAATAGAACTACATCAATTTTGCCATTTTGTAAGCTCCTTTTGTTTCGTAAAATTACACGATTGAAGAACGGAGAATGAATTGGTCTTAGGAAGGTTAGTCTTATTATGGCTGGCACAGCCAAAGCAATCCCTCTTCGTTTTGTTACCGTTACGCATAATACAGCCCAGCGGGTGTTGTTTCAGTATGCGTGCGCTCGATGCAAGACTCCTACACGTGTATCGAGAGAGGATGAGGGAGAGGAGAAATATTTAACAAGCGGATACGTAAAGGACACGAATGTGTTCCACAGTTGCGTATTCAGCCTCTTTCGAGCTCTCTCTATATACAACCATACGACTGGCTACCATATAAGGACCTATACACAGCCTTGTCGATGCTGACCCACCGTTGGAACGCTCCCTCGAAACGCTCTCCTGCAGCCACTGACGTACGCTTATCTGCGCCTTTTCCTTCTTTCAAATTTACAATTTTTTTTTTTCTTCGATTATTCTTCTCATTGTATCGTATTCGCTTGTGCTAATTATTTTACAACTAATGTAACTCTAAAAAAAAAAATGAGAATGACAAAGCAGAGTACTTTCATCAGGAGAGACATTTATCTGTGCTTTTCTCTTCTATCAAACTTGCAGTTTTTTTCTCGATTATTCTTGCCGTATTGTAATTATTT